GGCTTGGAGTGCATTTGCAGAGGTAACATCGACGAAGGAAAGAAACTTGCAGCATGCATGGCAGTAAAGTAGTAGCGTTGAGGATTATTCCTGTCTTAACTGGTTTGTAGCCTACACAAGTGGGTAGGCAAGCTGTTGTCACAATGTTAAGTATTAGCATGTACCTCATAAAACACGCTAGAATAAAAAAAAATTTACCCTTCTCAAAAGTGGCTAGCGGTTGGACTTTGAGGAAGCCAACAACGGATTTTTCGCATTGAGGATAAAAAAGTGTACTTGCTGTTAAGGGAAGCCGCATGACACAAAATACGATCTTGATGATGAACTTGAGCACACCAATAGGTGCAAGATGAAACATTAAATACAAACGCTTTTATAGAAGTGAGCAAAATTTTGCAGTGGAACGAATAAAAATCATTGCCACTGACACAGCTTGACGAATTATATATTAGGGTATATTATTAAGGAATTCAGATTGCTTGCAAACTGCAGAGCACTTACTCTGATAAATTTAAATGTAAGAATTTTAATGCTCCAATAGCCAAGTAATGGCTTAACCGTATATGAAAATTGAAAACTGATGTTACACTCAAATGGGTAAAAAAGAGATCTTCTGTTGGATTGTAGCTAATGGCAAACTCAGGGTGGTGGATGAATTTTTGCATTCAACTGCGTCCTGTGCAGCAGTGCGGAAAGACAGGCGCCATGGCCTGGTGCACAAGGGCCGCGCCACAAAAAAGGCGACGCAAAGCCAACCAGTCACTTTACTCAAGTCGTCCCACAGGTGCCCACCAAACAACTATCAGCAGTTGGTTCCGTCTCCATCAGGGCAGTGAAGCCTCATGGTAAAAAGGGGGAGTTGAATCGAGTCGAGTCGAGGGCGCTGAATGAACACTTGCGCCTACACCTCAGTGATTCACTCAAATAAACTCAACACATAATATGTAGGCAGACTGACGTGTGAATGACAGCCTCCTACTTAAGCATTGTCAGTGGTAATGATGTTATCGAAATGAAGTAAAGCCCACAAGAAACATTCTCCGCAATGGAAGAGGTCAGTGAGGGAGGGAGGTAGGGTGGGAGAGAGGTGGTGGCAGAGATGTCAGTCAACTAGTATCCGTCAAGTCCACCTTTCGCCAATATTACAAAACCGAAAGCGAGGTCAAGTTTACAATTTCATCTGCCTCCCTCACCCCTTCTTAATCAACTCGTGGCCGCACAGCAGGAATAGTAAATCCAGTAAAGTGAAGACGATTTACTACTATGACTAAAGAGAGGACAAAACTTACGCCGTAGCCACTACACTGCTAAAGTAGTGGAGGTAAACAAGTTGAGGCAATTAGTGTATTGCCTACACAGAGAGCATGATAAAAAATACATGCCCGCCAAAGGCCCCATTTACGAGCAGTAAGGTGGCAACCATCCCACCAAGGGGCTTATTTTGATGGCAGCCAATGTATACAGTTCGATGGTCTACACAAACAGCCCTAGACAGAGTCGCCTTCACAAAATGTGTGCTCATACTGTATTACATCCTTCATCACCAAAATCACATTGGCATAAGGAAGGAACTGACAAAATTGCCTAAGGATTAAATACAATTGCGCTGGAACCAAAAAGGCCAAGCAAACTATGAGATGAGGAAGAACAAGGTGAAGACTTCCTTAAAGTCGGCAAAAGTGTAATAAGACGTAAAGTGGTGCTTAACTTCCCGCTCACAGGTACTTTCATCCAAAACACCTAGTTGATACATCAGTGCATAGTGCATCAACTTCCATTACGACCTAGGAGAAAAAAAGGATTGTCTGGAGGCAAGGCTTATATTCCACTGTAGACAGTCAAGCGGGTTGCGACGCAGCTTGCACACAGCGTCCATTGTGCTTCATCCATCCATCCATGGGTAGCGGTATCTCCCGCATAAATTAAAATTGTCACTCCACAATCTGGTCCAAACCATAGTCACTACAAATAATACTCAAATACACACTAAAACCTCTTGCACATAACCTTTCCCAATTAGTTAGGACAAGAGAAACAACGCAAGTAATAAACGCATGCACGTCAGTTGCCTTTCTAACGAAAACGGTAGACAAGAAGCACGGTCCATCACAAAAAGCAGTGAATGCAGTCAGTGGTAGGAGTAGATACCAATGAGGAAGGAATCAAACCTGCCAGCATTTAATATGTACCAGTGTTGAGTGAAAGCACTTTAACAACCAACAGTGACAGTTGGAGAATTACATTAAAAACCTAACAGTGTAATGCAAATATATACATACATATAAATAGGCATGTATGCTCATAATTTGGCGAGTTTCTCCATGCATGTATTCGTACTCTTCATTCGCATCAGCGTCTGCTCCTTTCTGCCTACGGCATCACGGACGTAGAAATCACAGCACCACACCCCATCGCTCCGCACTGCTGCGCATATTACCACACCAGGTACATTTAAAGCCCGTAAAACAAATAGACCTGAATCATCTGAACCCACAAGAATTAACATTGTATCTGCAAATTTTTAAAAGGTAATACACTGTAAACGAAAAAAGTTCATGTGATGCCACATAAACTAGCTAATAAAAGCTTTTTTGTAATTTGGAAATGTAACTGTGGATCCCCACTTCATTTCTGCATATTTGATAAACCAACATAAAGGCGTCTGTGGAAAATAAATATTTTATTTGCGAATAATAAGCAGGTTTAGGGAAGAGTTAAGGATTTCTGGAAGAAAGACAAGTGACTGATATCACAATTCGTGTTCCACAGATTGCAAAATATTTTTAACAACTGCTGCATGGCCAACCTCCTTCGTGCTTACAACTTCACGGTGAGTGTTTCAGTTTGCGTGAATCTGTTACGCTGCACCTCCGATTCAACCATAGATATGCCTTTTGCAACCCAGCCAAGTGCCTATGAGTGTGTTGGCTTTGCCCCTCTCTTGAACAAAAACTTTGTGCGCTCAAATGCGCAGACACTCCACTGTCAGAGGATTGTGTTTCCACTCCACTGCACGACTCTTCTGTACGCTACTAGACCGTAGCCCCTTCCATCAACGCCTTGTCTCATTACAAATTCAAGGAAGCCTGAAGTAGTTACATCTGCGTATCATCTTCAGTGATGGAAAAGGAGTGGCATGTAGCTATTAGAAACTCTCTTATACCGTCCGGAGGAGATACGAGGCTCACCGATTTGTGCACAACCCAAAATTACTTCCACTCCTGTATTTTACAATTCTGTTACTATTCTTCCATTATTCTCATTTCAAAGCAAACTAGAAGCCTGTGCTGCTCTGAGTGTTCTCGAATAACGAACACATTCGTTTGGTAGGAACTTGCACAAAATGGCTGGGCGTACGAAGACGCGCACCATGTGCATGTCACATGACCAATGCTGTGATACTGGCAAAGATTAACTAGAAAACATTTCTATTTTGGCTCTCTGCAAATTTCTCGTGGAAAATTCGCAAATATTCTGAAGTTTGGGCGAAGTCCCGATTCGTTGACATCATGACGGATGGACTTAAAATGTGCTAACAATCGCTCTAGGCAAAGGTGAAACAACTAAAGTACCATTAAATACCACCGCCTATTCGGTAGTCAACCATTAATCAGGCGTTTGTAGACCATGCTTCCAGCATACCCATACTGATCAGCGGATAAGAAAATACGTATTAAGGCTGTCTGACGACTCTGATTTGGAACGCAATGAACTCAAGCTCACACGTGTAAACACCAGCCCTTACCACCACTGTTTTGAAATTCAAGCCTATTAACTGCGCAATAAAAAGCCATCAAGTTGAAGGCTAGAAACCGATGTCGCGCAGTCTTACATTAATATTAAGAAGTTATTAAGAAAGAATTTCACATCCTCTATAGCCAAGTAAGATTTGTCATAAAGTGTAGAGAATCTTAAAAGCTAGTCGCGAAAAATTAAACAGGTACCCAGATAAAAGTCCCCATGGAGGACATTTAAGAAGCCGCGGTATTTGCGGTCTCGCGATTTATCCATCAGGCCATGGTACACATGTCCGACAGGCAGGCAACCGAGTCAACAAATGCGATGCAGCATAGAGGCAGCGCTGAGGTGTGAGAATGAGTAGAAACAGTTCCATCTGTTGGTAGCACCACGGCTGGCTAGAAGTACCACAGATCATGCAAGCGTAGTGTTTAATGCTGCACTGGTCACAGCCAATCCCACTATCGCCAATGCTCTCTGACAACGATGTTTATAAGAAGCGTCCTCATTCCCATTTGAGCGGCTGATAGCTAAAGTCAGATGAATGCAAGGATCCGCAGCAAGGCCTGCGGAGAGGCTTAGGATCAAGGCTTTCACGAGTTCAAGAATCCAACCTCCCAAGATAATGAGATGGAGACAGGAGAGTATGAGAGATGCCACCACCGATACAAGAGCCGCCACTGCAAGAGGCAGATTGCGGGTGGAGAGGAGGATGGGGGAGCAGTCAGTGCAACAGAAAGACCTAAGAAAAGGGGCAGAAACTTGAGCACGTCCTGATAAGCCTCAAATGCCTTCAGCTCCGGACTCGTGAGAACTCCACCCGAAATTCTGTTCGGTGCAGTTGCAAGGACGGTGGATAACCAGGTCTTCACATGCTCAGTGGATTCTTGTACCACCAAGAAGGTGGTACTAATGAAAGAGAAGTTAGCCATGGTGGAAATCGCCAGTCCGATGATACGTGCTGTGTCCACGGAGAATATCCCTCCTGTAGGGCTCAATGAAACTTTCGCAAAAGCGGTCATAAAGGCAGCTAAGTCATTAAGGTACTTAAAGGAAAATACATTCTGGCCAAATATACGGCCATACTTGTGTGATGAAAGAAGAGCGCTTTCCTCCAAAAGCTGCAGAGGCAGAATGAAGGGTGGAGGGAAGGAGCGGGGCATTTTGGTAATCTCTAAGCAGAAGACGGATATCCAGGAGAAAGACTCAGGTGCAGTAAGATTAAAATTCGCCCGTCAGAGGGGTTGAGAAAAGGTCACTTCATCGCCGTAGGTCGTCCACGTCCAGTGATTGCACAAATCGTAAGGTTGGGCACCTTAAACAAAACGGAGGGAGACAAGGCCACGGTGGCTATAAAGAGTGTACTCAGCCCAAGGGAATTCGCCACCACTGAGACTTGGACCGTAGAATGCAGGCATGCAGGATGGCGAGAGCCAGAGGGAAAGGTAAGCCATATGGCGTGGAAAAGGAGGTAGGCGGAGATGACGATAAGGGAGAGGAGAAGAAGGGGAAAGGCGAAGCTCATCTTGATGACGAGGAAGTCAGCAAGACAAATGCGAGGCAGGTAGAGTGGACGGAGAAGGTGGCAGCAGTGGCAGCGGTGAAGTGAAACGAAAAGGAGGAGCAGATTGCCCATAACAGCAAGACGTAAACGACGTGTCAGAGAACGGAGAGGCTGGCGTAGATGGAGAAGCGCTTGACCGCAACGATGGCTAAGTTGAGGCTCAGCAGCTGGCTTTTCCGTGTAGACAGACTGGTCAGACAGACCAAGGCGACTGCTTGGCGCAGCGTGACGGTCATTTGGTGCGCTGCCGGACGCAACATCGTCGCCTTTTCAGTATCACTGCCTTCGTCGGTAGCAATGTCTCCACCGCAATCGTTTCGTGTGTGTATGGAGACCGGAATATGAGGCGATATACTGATACAGCATTGTCCCATTCTTTTGCAGTTGGCATACACGCACGTCCAGACATAAAAAGGAATACTTACAATATATTCATGGAAACATCGAACAATGAATAAACCGCAAGATCTGCCATCTTCCAAAGTTTCATAAATCTGATAGATGAGTTAGTAGGATTAAAGTGGCTATTAGAATCTACAAAACAAGGTGTTGCGTATCAAATTCTATGAATATGACACTTGGGCAAACGCTACCACGAAGAGATTGATATAAGACAAGCAGTGATGGGGGAGCAATGGCAAGCTCCTAATGCAGTTCTGTCAAGATTTTTAAGGATACATCACAACCGGTGAGCTTCAAAGTGTTGGCATAATCTATTTTGCATCACAGTTAAGTGCATTTTGTTCGACTACTGTTATGACAGCTAAGTGAAAAGAGTAAACACGAGAACGCGGAAGTCAACATTCAGAGAGGCGGAGACTGTGCAGCAGAGCAATAATGGGGATGATGGGCAAATGAGCCATTTGACCTGTTATAACGCAGGGAATCCGAAACAAAGTTATAAACAAAGTGAAATTATTCTGACGGTTGATCTGTTGTACCAGCAGAGAAGGCAAAGAGTATAGGGGAATCAAATGTGCTTTGCCCGTCACACCTATTTTTGAAAAGGTCAAATGTCCACTAGAACGGCACGGGCAAATCCTTGGCAGCATGAGAAAACAGAAATTATTGCCAACACAAAACCACACACCTGATTTAGTCAGAAGGAAGCAAAATGGTAATAATATAAGAAAAAAGACTTAAGTCCCAAGATGTAGTGCAATTCCTGTCGATTTTTGTGCCTCTTCTTAGTGTATCTGGGTGGGCTTAGACGAAGTAGAAACTATTGAAAGAACAAAAGGACTATTTGAAAAAGATACGTCTAAATCGCTGTCCACCTGTAATGCAAATCAGTGGATGAATAAGAGAACAAGGGAACTGACGATTCACTGCAAAAAAATGATTTTGAGAGTGAAAGAACAAATCATTTGATTACAAGTGATGAAAAATAGGAGGTGTAAAGGTCCTCAAAAAAGCGCACTTTCGAATAATCACATAAAGATGGACAAATGAGAACAGAAATGACAATGTAAACCTGATTATTATCCAAATGAAGCCACAAACGACGGGGAGAGAAGTGAAGAGAAAAAGGTTTAAAGGGGGATTTTA